ATGCTGCAGGGTCTGAGTTTTTCCTTTCTTTGTTCTTTTGCCTTTGGCTGGGCTTCTCCTTGCTTGCTGGGATACTGCTCATCTCGGCTCAACGGAGCCCGATGTTCGATGGTTTCAGGTGTGAATTCTGCCACGAAGTCGACCAAAACTTGGCCCTTTATTGCTGTTCTCGGCCTGAACTCCAGGTCATATTGGCCCAGGGTCACTGCCCATCTTGCTATCCTCCATGTTAAGTCTCCTTGTTGTAACAAGGACTTCAGTGGGTGCTCTGTTAGGACCACAATCTTGTGCGCCTGAAAATAATGGTTCAACTTCTTTGAAGCCATTACTAAGGCCAACATTAATTTCTCCAGTGGCAGATACCTTGTTTCTACATCGGTCAAGTTTTTACTTACATAATAAACAGCTTTTTGCTCCCCATTTTTCTCTTGGATTAGTACTGCACTGACTGCGTGTTCTGAAACTGCTAAGTACAAAAATAGCTCTTCCCCAGGTTCAGGTGTTAAGAGGACTGGGGCCGTTGTCAAGTACTTTTTCAGGTTGGTCCATGCGGCTTCGCATTCTTCTGTCCACAAGAAGTTTGTGGCTTTTTTTACCAGGCTGAAGAAGGGTCTGCACTTATCTGAGCTTCTGCTAATGAATCTGTTTAGGGCTGCGGCCCTTCCAGTAAGCATCTGAACCTGTTTTGCCGACGTTGGGCTCTTCAGCTCCAGGATGGCCTTGATTTGGTCTGGGCTGGCCTGTATGCCCTTTCTCGTTACCAGATACCCTAGAAACTTACCTGTTCCAACTCCAAATGCGCACTTTGATGCTTTGAGTCAGAGCCGGTATGTTTTGAGTATATCAAAGACCTCTTTTAGGTCGGCAAGATGACCCTTAGATTCCTTGGTCTTCACGACCATGTCATCGATGTAGACTTCTACCATTTTACCAATCAGGTGCTTAAACATTTTTGTTACTAACCTTTGGTAAGTTGCTCCTGCGTTTTTCAACCCAAAAGGCATGACCTTGTAACAGTACAAGCCTTTTGGGGTGATGAACGCACTCTTCTCCTCGTCTGGTGGGTACATGGCAATCTGGTGGTACCCCCTATATGCATCCAAAAAACTCATCCTTTCGTGCCCTGAAGTTGCATCTACTAGCTGGTCAATCTTGGGCAGAGGAAAGCTGTCTTTGGGGCAGGCCTTGTTGAGGCTGGTAAAGTCTACACAGACCCTTCATTTACCGTTCTTCTTTTTCACTACTACTGTGTTGGACAGCCATATCGGGTAGTGAACTTCTTGGATAGCCCTGGCTTCCAGAAGTTTGTCTACTTCTTCTTCTACTGCTTCGACGTGTATCAACGTCGGTCTTCTGGCTCGTTGAATTACAGGTTTTGCCGACCTGTCGACATTCAGTCTGTGGCAAGTGACCTCGGGGTCAATGCCAGGCATTTCATAAGGTGTCCAGGCGAACACCTCAATGTTGGCTCTCAAAAAATCTTCCAATTCTCTTTCCTCTTCTTCGGCTAAGCCTGAACCGAGAAGAAAGAAACGTTCTTCGTCGCCCTCCTGGACTAGGATTTTCTTTAGTGTCTCTTCACTCTTTTCGGTTGGCTCCTTGCCGACATCATCTAGGACCTCCATGTCCTTGTTTTCAATTTCTGCCTCTTTTGGCTCTCGAATGTTGCAAGTGGACTTTGTTGCTGCCATGGAGCAACCTTTTGCCTGCAGTTAATCTCCTCTGACTTCTTCAATTCCATGCTCTGTGGGGAACCGTAGTAGTTGATGCAATGTTGAGGGAATTGCCCTCATTGCATGCAACCATGGTCTTCCCAAGATGATGTTATATGGTGAGGGTGTGTCAATCACTATAAATTATGTTTTGATCTTCTTAGTACCGGCTTGTACTTCCATGCTTGCTGCACCCAGTGGCCATGTCGGCGTTCCATTGAAGCCGACCATAGGGTTGTTGGATTGTTCCAGGTCGTCAGGATGAAGGCCCAGCTCCTTGTAACATCTGATATACATGATGTCA